GTATCCAGTCCACAGACAGCTGGGCATCCCAGTCCAGGGAAGGGGGAGGCTGGAGCTGCTGCTGCAGACGCACGAGTCGGCATCTCGCAGGCGGGGGTGGGAGGCCTGGGAAGGCATGAGCTCCTCCAGGAAGATCACATGCAAGGCGAGCAGCGGGAACCCCCGTGGGGGCAGGTCCAGAATGGCCTGTGAGTGTGGGGAACTGGGAAAGGGAGTGAGAGCTTCAGCACGTAACTGGATTGGACTGGTTGTTGGTTTCATTATAATCCCAACAATATTGATGGAGCCCTTACTTGTGTCATGGACTATGGTAGACCCTGGGGACGTAGATATGGGGAAGGTGCACCCTGGCCTCGTGGAGTTTACATCCCAGTGGGGTGAGCATAGCTCCCACAGGGAGGAAGCCGGGTAAGTTAGGTTTTTGGGTTGCAAGCAACAGCTACAACTGGGACTAACTTAAAGTAGCAAATACCTTTTTGGAAGGAGGTGTCATAACTCATAGAATGCAGACGAAAGTGGAAGATCCAGGGCCAGAACCAAGATCGCTGCAGGGATTTGCTAAGAGAAGCTGATGAGGAGGCTTTTCCAGGCCCCTATACCTGGTGGGAAGGTTCAGTCCGAACATTTCAGTCTTGATGGCCCATTGTTAGTCTTTATGACACAATTGGCACCGATTGGCCAACTTCATTCATGCACCCACCCTTGGCCCATCAAGATTTTATCCAAAGCAGGACTGGTGGTTCCTCAAATAAAAATCAGAGGCTCATATCAGACGTAGAGAAATTGTTGCTGAGCAGGTTAAATAACAGGTAGGAGGTAAGCCCAAAGGATGAGTGTCAGACCATCACAGTAATTTTTGCAAAACTACATAGAAAATAAAGGCGGCGGAAGCTTAAGACAGTTACAGCGCGCGAGAAAAATTCAGCTGTGTGCTAGCAGCTGGAAGCAAGTAAGCGAAATTTAAACAACGACATGAAGAGGAAAAATGAGCTTTAAGGGAAAGGGTACTCCCCAGCCCACACGTGCACGAGCAGGGAGACGCACACCCAGGCTCTGCGCGCTCCCCTCCCACGGGCTGGGCGCTCTGTGCCAGAGCCGCGCAGACATACCACGTCAGGGTGTCTCTGGGGCAGAGGGGACATTTGAAGCCCACAGGAGCCGGTTGGCCCATGGCACCAAGCCGTGCGGTGCTGTTTGCAGTCTGTGTCTGTGTTCCCTTCGTGTTTGTGAGAGAGGGAGACACTGCAGCTGGCAGGCCATTAGGAACTAGAGACACGGAGCTTCGCTTCAGTTCAAAACCAGGGGGTGGCGGGATGCTCTGAAGACCCCTGGGACGGGGCGGAATTTCCCAAGGGCAACAGTGCTCGTGGCGAAGTCCATCGCCCATTAGTCACATAAGCTGGGGAAATGCTGTGTCCCCACCTCCTCTCGGGAATTCTTCAGTGTTTTCAAGGGAAATCTGTTCCATGGCTTGTCAAGTCGACTTATTTGTGTTTGGGGATTGCCTTTATATCAATAACCCACATGGAGTTGGAAAGTCCTTAAGTTTAAATGTACTCTCACATTCAGGTAATTCTGCCTACTTTCATCTTAAAGGCCAGCATGTAATTACAGTGTATTCCAGGGCCATAATGTAGCATAGCCAGGTGTGCAAGAAAAGTTGGCCAGAAGATTCTATTCAAGTGTATGTGACTGTTAGCTAGTAATGATAGCTGATTAAGAAGTGGCCTTCTCGGTGTTAATAAATACTATGAAGACTTTCAGCTCACGCGGTTCATTATAAACATTGGGCCTGGAAGCAAAATATCAGTTGTATCTGCCTGTCTGTTGTGCAGTGACTCTGAGAGTCCCCGGGGCGAGCAGGCAGGCTTGCGGGGCAGACAGCAGAGGAAGGGACCTGAGAGAGCCGGAGGACATGGCGCTCCTGCCTGCCCCCCTCGGAGGCCAGCGGGAGGGTGCAGGATCGGTGTGGCCTATAGTTTCAGGATAGAGGAGAGGAAAGCTGAAGGTATGATGGCTTATGTTTCCTGGTACAGTGGGTGACTGGTTGTGTGTTAAGGGTGGGTGCTTATGGTGAGGATTTGGAACACCTACTCTGAAGAATAACAAGAGGGCTGTAAAAACAAATTTACCAAATTACTGAGCAGTGTTGAGGCTCAAGTGAAGATGGAATTAGTAACCATAGGAAGGATCCAGTTGCCAGGGTCAGCAGTTTTCTCTCCTGCTGTTTGGCAACCCAGAGACAGAATTAGAGATGATGAAAGGCTGGGAGGATGCCTTATTAGGGGCTGGAAGAGCAAGTGGTACAGGAAATTGATGATGATGATGATGATGAGGAGGAGGAGGAGGAGGAGGAGGAAGAGGAAGAAGAAACTGAAATGATTGTTCATTGGGTCCAGAGAAGGTATGCAAGAAAGTGAAATCAAGAAGATCATAGATGAATTTGAAGATCGGGTATAATGAGTTTGATACTGTGGTAAATGCATAAAGAAATAAGGTTGCAGTCCATTCATTTCCTTGGCATTTCTTGGCGAGTAGCTATATCATCCCATGGTCTGCCTTTGTCTTCACATTGCCTTCTTCTCTGTGTGTCTCTTCTCCCCCTTCTGTTGTCTTATAAGCATATTCCTCATCGGACATTGGGCCCACCTAACCCAGGATGGTCTCATCTCACGATCCTCACCTTACATCTGCAAAGACTTTCTCCAAATAAGGTCCCATTCATAGGTCTGAGCGGATACATCTTTCGGAGGGTCACCATTCAACCCACTACATTGTCCTAGAGTGCAATGTCAGAGTGAACCATTTCAGAGTTAGGGCAATTCCAATGACAAGACCCAAGGAATGGCCAGGAGTAAGAATTGTTAAAAGAAAAGAGAAAATGGAGACATTTAGTCAAAGGACTCTGAAGTCAGGTCATTGAGTAGGGAAGCTGATGGGGTCTGGGACGAAGAGGACTAGGAACCAGGAGTCTATATTCCAGAGGAATGTGAAGATGAATGCTTTGGGGGTTGGTCAGTCATAGTGTTAGGAGTGAGAACCCTCTGTTGGAACCATCTGAGGAGCTTTAAAAATATCCAACCCTGGGTAGCTTTAACCAGGGGTCCCAGATGGGCCCAGGCATCTGTATGTTTTTTAATCCCTTGGTGGTCTAATGTGTAGCCAGCATTAGAAAAGCTAGTTTAAGGTAACACATGACGTCCAGACAGAAGTCACGACACAGAGCCAGGGGTGTCCCCTCGATCAAGGTATGAAAGAGACACAGCTGGGGAGGAGGTCCATCACCATCTCTGAGAGCCTCAGGCAGGGCCAGGAGAGCAAAGTGGGGCCGCGAGAGGTGCGGCCCAGCTTCTGCGAGGCCCCACAGGCCAGGGTTTCTGCGCTGCTTCAGGGAGGGAGTTCAGCAGGAAAAGGCATCAGAACACTTTCTCTCTTCTCTTTTCAAAACAGAAAGTGCTGAGAATTTCTGTTTTGTTCTCAGTTAATTTGGTGATGAGGGACACTTTTATTTTACTTATTTGTTTCAATTACAGTTGATATTCAATATTATTTTATACAAGAGGCCCGGTGCATGAAATTCATGCACTGGGGGGTGGGGGGTTGTCCCTCAGCCCAGCCTGCACTCTCTCCAATCTGGGACCCCTTGGGCCTAAACCAGCAGTTGGACATCCCTCTCACAATCTGGGACTGCTGGCTCCCAACTGCTCACTTGCCTGCCTGATTGCTCCTAACCGCTTCTGCCTGCCGGCCTGGTCACCCCAACTGCCCTCTCCTGCTGGCCTGGTTGCCTCCAATTGCCCTCCCCTGCCAGCCTGGTCATCCCTAACTGCCCTCCCCTGCCAGCCTGGTTGCCCCAACTGCCCTCCCTTACTGGCCTGGTCACCCCTAACTGCCCTCCCCTGTCAGCCTGGTCACCCCTAACTGCCCTCCCCTGCAGTCCTGGTCCCCCCAACTGCCCTCCCCTGCAGTCCTGGTCCCCCCAACTGCCCTCCCCTGCCAGCCCAGTTGCCCCTAACTGCCCTCCCCTGCCGGCCATCTTGTGGCAGCCATCTTGTGACCACATGGGGGCAGCCATCTTGTGTGAGGGTGTGATGGTCAATTTGCATATTATCTCTTTATTATATAGGATTAGTTTCAGGTGTGCAGCATAGTGGTTAGAACTCATTTCTAAAATACTTGCTATATTTACAAAACCAGCCTTTTCCCCAAAACATAATTTCTAACATATTTAGAGAAGTCTCTTTTGCCAGAACAATATTCAGTGCCTTCCTATGTATCTTTTTTTTTTTTTTGTAATCCTTTCCAAGGATATTTTTCCATTGTTTTTTTTTTGTTTTGTTTTGTTTTTAGGGAGAGTGGAAGAGAGAGGGAAATACAGAGAGAAGCAGCGATGTGAGAGAGACACATCTATTGGTTGCCTCCTGCACGAGGTGACCAGGGCCCAGCAGGGGAGGAGCCTGTAGCCCATGTACATGCCCTTGACTGGAATGGAACCTGCAACCCTTTGGGCCGCAGGCCGATGCTCTATCCACTGAGCCAAACCGGCCAGGGCTCCTCTGTAACTTTTGAATATGTAATAACCACATTAACAATTTCAAGCAGTGTACAAGGTTATACAATAAAAGTCACTCTCTTCATCCCTGACCCCTCCCTGCCTCTCTCCAGAATCCACTGCATTTGCCAGTTTCCCTGGATGGAGGTGCCTGTTTTCATTTAGTGCTGTATCCTGGAAATCACTCTGTATTAGTACGCATAGCTCTGCCTACTCTACTATCTGGCTGTTCCATCACTTATTTAACCCATGCTGACGGATGCCTCCTGTCTTAAAGCAAACTGGTTAAAGACTAAAAAATCAGCAAGCGATAAAGTGAGAGCAGGTGAGCCTCAGAGGCCACAGGGGAGAGAGATGCCCCAATAGGGAGCTGGGAGCAGGGAAATGACCCGCACCCCCACCCTCATCCCCACCCCGCAGCCTGTCTGACCTGCTGCTCTGCCCGCAGGAGCCTCATGCCCCGCACGCTGGAGAGCCAGATCACGCTGGAGAAGACGCCCAGCTACTTCGTCACCCAGGAGGCCCCTCGGCGGATCTTCAACATGTCGCGGGACACCAAGCTGATCGTGGTGGTGCGCAACCCGGTGACCCGCGCCATCTCCGACTACACCCAGACGCTGTCCAAGAAGCCCGACATCCCCACCTTCGAGGGCCTGTCCTTCCGGAACCGCACGCTGGGCCTGGTGGATGTGTCCTGGAATGCCATCCGCATCGGCCTGTACGCGCTGCACCTGGAGGGCTGGCTGCGCTACTTCCCCCGCGCGCAGATCCACTTCGTGAGCGGGGAGCGGCTCATCACCGACCCCGCGGGCGAGATGGGGCGGGTGCAGGACTTCCTGGGCATCCGCAGGTTCCTCACCGACAAGCACTTCTACTTCAACAAGACCAAGGGCTTCCCTTGCCTGAAAAGGACAGAGGCGAGCCTCCTGCCTCGGTGTCTGGGCAAGTCCAAGGGCAGGGCTCACGTGCAGATCGACCCCGAGGTCATAGACCAGCTGCGGGAGTTTTATAGACCTCACAACATTAAGTTCTATGAGACGGTCGGGCAGGACTTCCGGTGGGAATAGGCCTCCGACAGGCCAGGTCTCTGTGGGTCTGGGCCACGGGTTTGTTCTGGGGGCCTGTGACCCCCTCCCCCAGCAGAGCCGGGCTCCAGCGCCTTCCCCAGCCGGGACTCCATCATCCTGGAACCAGGGAGCCCGGCCCGGGCGAAGGGTCGGGGGCCCTGCCGCTAGCTCTCCCCCGTCTGTCCAGGCAGCACTGACCTGCCTCTGGCACGTCCAGCCAATTCCGAAGCATTGCCCTCCGGCCCGTAGGCTGCCTCGGGAAGTTGCTTTAGGAAGAGTGGATCTTCCCGTTCTGCTCGCTGTTACCCGTGGTGATGGCTCTGTTGCTGTGAGCACAGCGGTCTGTCCTTGTGACTGTCCCCCCCAGAGTGAGCTTGCTAATTCCGCGCGTCGTGTATTTCCCTCTGAGCTTTCCTCCCCCTGTCTGGTGGCATGGGGCACAGTCCTCATCCTCCCGCCCTTAGCAGCTCATCAAGAGACGCAGAGCGGACGCGTCCCCTGGCCGCCGCAAGGAGACGGACCCTCTGATGAGGGAATAAACCGGAGCTTTCTAAGGCTGAGGCCTCAGCCCTGCTCGAAGGTGGCAGTCTTTGTACGCTTGGTGGCTCTCCCTGCTCCCTGTGGACAAAAGCACATAATTCTGCTGTTACGGGTACTTGCCTCACGCGAGCTTTCATGTTCAGCATGCAACAGAACATGCTTGTCCATGTGAAATAAATACGGCTCCCTCGTGTCCTGAACACTGGCTCTTCTCTGGGTAGGAGCACCACTCATTCATTCAGGACCTCCAGGCAGGGCGGGCTGGTGCTGGTCCTGGGCGGGCTGGGAGGGAGGGGGCGGTGCAGGAGGAGACGGGAAAGGAAGTCCTTGCTGGCGGAGCTGGGGCAGAAACGTCACTCAGGTCTGCAGGGCCATCTTGCTGAAGCAGAAGTCTGGCTGTATCGCTCTGCTGAAGCTGTGCATCTCAAGTGCCAAACTAGGGGCACAGGGGCTGAGAGAACAGCAGATATGCATTTGCTAGGCCAGCATGATATTTTGAAATAATTTCTAACATTTAAAAGTTGGGAGGGTTCATATAAAAATACGGATGTCAGATTTATTTGTATTGGAAGCTTGGCTACACAGAGCCTGCACTCCAGTGCACAGCAAAGGGCTGCTCCTGGCCTTCCAGTCCCCACCGGCTCTCCCCACAGATTTAATCCTCTGCCTGGCCCCCGGTGCATGGGTATCAGCCCAGCTTTGGGTGACCTCAGAATAAAGTTCAAGTGGTGCCAAGGTGACCCCAGGTGACAGTTTCTGGGTCATCTCCTGCTTCTCCTCCCTCACCCTCTGCTCCACCGCACAGACCTACGGGCCTTTTCTTGACTCTGTCGTGCCTTTGGCTGGACTGTCCCCCCGGCCCCATGTCTCCAGCTACTGGAAACCCCATGCTCCCATCAGACTTCACTCTTGGCCCTTGCTGGATATCTGTGGGACCTACCCCAGCCACGCTGAGTTCTCTGCCCGCTGTTTGGTGTCCACTTGGTAGTTTATACACATCTCAGTTACAGCTTCTATCAGGTGAGATCATCATTGTTCACATGACTGTCTTGGTACAGCTGGTTGCTGGCTGAGACGGAGTAGGCACAGCAAATTTTGATGGGTGAATGTGTGAGCGGGCGGATGGATGCTGGGGGCCTGGAGGCATGGATGGGGTGCCCCAAGGAACTGCACTTTGGGACACTTCCCAGAGGGCTCCATTGTGCCCACAGGTGCCAGGAAATTGCTGGACCCCCAGGGCACTTTGCTTTGTCTGCTCCACCAGTCATCATGGAGTCCCTATAAAGGAGGCTGGCTTCAAAGACTGTAGGACACAGAAGACATCAGTTCTGTGATTCGGCCCCTCTTCCTGCCCCACACATATTACAGGAGGTAAATAACTGAGACCGGGTACCCAGAAGCCAGTCCTGGGAGCTTGACCCCTCTGTGCATCCCCGCAGGCGCGGCGAAGGGACAGCGAGGACAGTGCGAGCCACTGCCTCCCGAAGCTGGGGCCCTGGACCTCCAGTGGCCTGAAGGATGGGCTGTACGTGGACATTAATGAGTTGCCATCACATTCCTCCTTCAAAGGTATTGGTGTCCCGTGATCCTGGTCCACATGGCAGCCAAAGCTGTAGCCAAAGGAAGACAGAATGACACTGGGACACAAGAAAACCCCCAGGAAGAGCTGGTGAGATTTGCTTGTTTATCCGGATTGGGGAGAATCCCGTCCGAATGGATGGACATTCCGAGCTTGTGTGCACACAGGCAGCTTCATTCCTTTGCATTACAAGCATTCTCAGACCACCCTGGCTAAGCAGCCTCCTACATTAATGAGTAGGTCAGAGTCCATGGTAATTAGCACAGGGATCATTGTATGCAAATGAAAGATGCTCAAGTACCTTGGAAATCCTAGTTTAAATCAGTGATACCTGGTGTACATGAATCTGCTCAGCAAAATCTGATTCTTATTCCAGTACAAATGTACCCTTTCGCCCAGGCCTCCCCAGGGCAAACTTGCACAAGGTCCAACTACTCGTGTGTCCGTGTGTGCATGCATGTGTGTGTGCGTGCGTGCGTGCAGTGAGAAGTGTGTTTCTCTCTCGCTGCCAGTCCAGGATGCATGGTGCTTCCACAGTAGCAGAGATGCTGGCTCCCTCCATCCCAGTGCTCAGCTCTCTGCCTTGCACTCAGCAGGAGGGAGCGCAGAAATGATGGCGACCACCCAGAGGAGAGCCAGAGCGCCTGCCACTCAGAGCTGCGACAGTGAGGCGTCTGCACCAAGATTTCTGTGTGCCCCGAAGGAAGGCAGGCAGGGGCAAGCTGCAGGCGGCCTGATTAGAGGCAGGACATCCCATGTGCTTGGGTGGCGGGCATGTTTGACCCCCTCTGGTGAGTCCTGAGTTGGAGGCAGATACATAAAAATAGGAGCGCTGGCGTCATTGACCACGTCCCGACCATTCGGGCCAGCTGCTGCAGAGGCTGCCGGTCAGTCCCATGGTCAGATCCGGTCTTGCTGTTGTCCATCCAACATCCAGTCTCTTCAGAGCAAGTGGGCTCGGGCAGAGCCAGCCTCTTCCACCTGACCTGGCAGCATCCTCGCTTCTCACGGCTTCTTTGTGTTGTGAACGTGCCTCCTAGGTTTGTGCAAGGGCGTGGGGTTCCTTTTGCTCACATTCCCCTTGGGTGGAACTCACTTACTTGGTTGCGTTAGTTGCGAGGGAAGCTGGGATGCATGACTGCATCAGTCCTCGTCCCTGTTCCTGGACCAACGAGGAGGAGAGCCACATCCACTTCCTCTACAATGTGACAAGCCGAAACCACAGTGAGGGCACCAGGAAGGGAGCTGGGACTTTTCTGGAGGAAGTGACGGGGGGCCGTGTCTGACGATGAGTAGGAGTTCCTCTTCAGGAGAAGCCTGGCATATGCCAGCCTGAAATGCCCTGGGCATGGTTTCTCTAGGTGGGGTCAACTGGGAGCAAGGGTTAAGGGCACTGGGCTAAATTCTGGTAACTGGGCCCATCGACACCACACCCAGTTTTACCCCAGATTCAGAGGGTACCTCACACCTGCCTGCCTGGTACTGCAGACAGAAATGCAGACTCACTCTCCAGGGTAAGGTGAGCCACAGTCAACGCAGACGCCCGAGAGTCTCTCTCTTCACCCCACATGGCAGCTCACAGACCGGAGAGCTGAGGCGCCAAGTCAGGTGGATGAGCAGGTGCCCCGTGGGCTCCTCACCCTGTGACAGTGAGCCTGGCTCTTGCTGAACTTGGCCTCCTGATAAATAAGGAGAACCTATTGCTTTTATTGTTTAAAAAAAGAAAGCATATATTCCTCCACCCCCAAAACAAGCTTAGATCAAATTTTATTCCATTTTTCTAGTGAGAAATGAAATCTGAATGTGCTATTTAGGGACTGTACCCCTAACTGCTTTTTACTGATAACAGTGCCTTAAACAAATTAGGGATTTATTGTCTCAAGTGAAAGAGGTCGCTTAGAGAAGCACTGAGCGGGGCAGTGCAGGCCTGTACAACGGTAGCGCCATTGTCATGCTGTCAGGGAGTCGGGCTCCTTTTGTCTTTCTGACACGTCATCCTTAGTCCCTGGCTCTCGTCCTCATGGCCCGGAATGGATGCTGGTGCTCCAGCCACCACATCTATGTTTCAGTCAGAAGAAAGAGGGGAAGAAAGAAGACAGGGAAATATTCCTCTTGACAACGTCAACCCATTTGAGGAGACTTTCCACAAATTCTACCCGGTCCTTTACACTTCATCGCATGGACCACCTCTACCTGAGAGGCCAGAAATATAGTCTCTTCGCTGAACACACTGTCTCCCTGACAACCCAGGACTTCGATGCTGAGGAAGAGGAGAGAGTCTCTGTTACAATGAAGCTCCAACAGTTGGAAAAAGCGGTCTCTGAGATGACCAATACGTCGCACTCGGTCTTCCAAATGGCTCAGATGCCTCCCACCTGGGAGACCCCAGCTTGTCCCCTGCCCCTTCCACTTGACGTCACAACCAGTGCCCGCAGCGTCAGGTTCTCCCTGTGCACCTGTGGGCGTGGGCACTGCCAAGCTGCCCCTGTGGGCGGCCCTGAGCAGAGTCAGGCACGTTCGGGTCCTGAACGCCCTCTCCAGAGGCTGCACAGCCAGCTCTCAGGAGCCGGGGGAGCCGGCTCCGCACACCCTGCGTCACCTCCCACCTCCCTGCTCCCGGAGCAGCACGTGTCCCAGAGCCTGAGTCAGCGATCTGGGACTGGAATGGACCTGCGCTCAGAGCCTGGGACCCAGAGCTGTGCACACCCCCACAGTGCATCAGACCCATCTCACCTGCAGATGTGGAGGGTCGTGCTCTGAGCATTTAATTCACCTACAGGCAATTATATTCTGTTAGAGAGAGGAGAGAGGTGGCCCAAACCATGTGAGTGGTTTTACCTGACACCTTCCCCCAGGGACATGTACCCCAGGAACCATGCCCCATGACACGGCACCACGGACCTTTTGACCCCTCCATCCCTGTGATCCAAATGTTGATTATCACTTATTGTACACATCCGCGGCCTCTACATGCAAGCCAACTCCCTCCTCGGGGCCCAGCTGGGTAAGTAAACAAATCGGTAGCAACGGCAGGTGAAGGGAGCGCGTTGGATCCAGGCGATTTCTCAGGCGATTCTGCCTTTCTCGTGAGGCCTGTTGACTGTACAGCCCAGTCTCTGAGTGAGAGGCAAGTCCACTTTCTTTGCCCCCCATCATGTGGCATCTGCATGCCTGCCCCCCCGCCCCCACTCAGAATGCAGCAGAAGGGATGAGACCACGAGTGGAAAGTGACAAGAGAAAGGAAAGGGTGGGTGTAAGGGCTTCCAGCAGCCTCTTAATTCCTGAGTCATCCTTGGCCTACGTGCTTCTGTGGGCGCTTGGTCGAAGCCCCTCCCTCAGAGCGCTCTCTGGAAATTCATGTGTGTGACTGGCTTTTCTTTTACTCCCCTGTGGAGCCTGTGTGGCTGACATGCGTCTGGCTGATCCACATCTGGCCAGAACATAATTGGCCACATGTGACTACCTGGATCTTGGCTGCCTGACTCTGGCCTTGTGGGAACCGACCCAGATCCTCAGTATGGAACTTGTCTGAGGAGTATCAGTCTGATGGGACGTGGCCGTCTTACAGTGGGGCTGGCATCTTGCCCCCTGCTGCTGGGTCTGCAGCC